TATTAATCTTTGTTCTCTCTCCTGTAGTTGGCCAGAAATGTTGGTAACTCTGGTTTTAATGAAATACTGGAGGCGAACCTGCTGAGTCCGTCACTGAAGCCATCACAGCACAGCCACATGTAAGACACACTAACGCACAGCTGTCACACTACTATTAATTATATTTAACGTATGCTAGTATTTTAATGTGCAATTTAACACTTGTGGTGCTGTGTTTTTATGGCGTTCAGGGCCGAGCGCAAAGACTTCATCCTGTCAAAGTACCAGGATGTTCACTTTGTGAGGCGGAGCCATAGTTCAACTGCAGCACTGCGACTCGGCCTGCAGGAGGCGACCAAGAGCTGCGACATCTACAGTCTGCTGCAGCTGTACGCTCAGAAGGCGGAGCTTAGCCAGCCGCTGCACGCACACATACAGGTACGAGTATATACACACACAGGTATACACACATACAGGTACAAGTACATACACACAGGTATACACACATACAGATAAAAGTATACACACAGTTATACACACACACAGGTATATACATACACAGGTATATATACACATACAGGTAAACACACTTACAGGTACGAGTATATACACACAGGTATATACACAGGTACACACACGCATACACGTAAAAGTATGCACAAGTAGCCACATAGGATACACACACAATTACGTGTGCACACTCACATACAGGTAAACACACACGATGTACTCACAGTTGCATGTGCACATACAAACAAGGTATACACAGGTACACTAACATAGACGTACAGTTTTATATACACAGGTACGTACAGGTATAAATGTACACACACAAGCAGGTCACACATCAGGTATACACACAGCTACATACAGGTATCATACTGGTGCACACACATGACGTGTACATGGTTATATTTGCACATTGACATCCAGGTATATAAACATATACACAGGTACACACACACCCGCTCAGCTGTTTGTTTCCATGCCAACAGGAGAAAGGTGAGACGGCGCTCCATTTAGCCGTCCTATTGGCCGACAGGACGTCGCTGCACATCCTGGACTTCCTGGCTCAGAACTGGTCAGTCAGCGTGTACACCCGTGTGTTAGTGTGTACACCTTGGTTTTCCTGTGTGTTTACCTACATGTTTACCTGTGTGTTACACCTGTGTGTAAGTGTGAAAACCTTTGTTTACCTGTGTGTTTACCTGCATGTTTACCTGTGTGTGTGTGTGTGTGTGTGTGTGTGTGTTTTGTGTGTGTGTGTGTGTGTGTTTCCAGCTCTAACGTGGACACCCAGACGTCGTCAGGAAACACGGCGCTGCACTACAGTTGTCTACACAACAAGAGCGACTGTGTGAAGCTGCTGCTGAGAGCCAGAGCCAACACACACATCAGTAATACACACACACACACACACACACACACACACACACACACACACATCAGTCATACACACTCACACTCACACATCAGTAACACACACACACCATCCTTTTAGGTTCAGATAGTTAAAAGTGAGTGAGTTTTAGTGAACATGGAACTCTTTCTGTGATAAAGTTTCTCACTCTGAGCTCACACGTGTAGAACGAATGAAGCTGGATCTAAAGACGAACTACTGAACTAACATTTTACCCGTTGGTGTTTTAGAGAACGAGTTGGGAGAAACTGCTCTGGACGTGAGCCGCAGGTTGAAGCACGGCCACTGTGAGGCGCTGGTGAGTCCGTCGGTGGAGTTCAGTC